CTATGCTTACATTGTCAGAACAGTGGTAACTATAGGCATGTTAGTTATCCCACCCAATCACTCGCATGTATAATTTAAATACTGTACTTTGGTACCTTTGTTCTACTCTATGCTTGCATTAATATCAGAACAGTGGTATTAACTATAGGCAAATCTGAAAATGTGAATTGAATGACAACATGCTTATTATATTACGATTAGGCCTATATCTATTGACGTTGGGATTGATATTAGATGTGACAAGTGCATGCTCATCAAGAGTTAATTAATGTCAAAATTCTTCTCTTATTTAGGAAATGCATGTAATCTTGGAGATTTACAGAATGTAAAGTCTCAACTCGCAGACATACAAAAGTTATTGATAGAATCCAATCATAAGAACCAAGCGAAAAGAAAAATGATCTTGTCCGATGCAGAAAACACTCAACAGCTTTCTGAAGAGAAGAAACTGGCGATTGTCAATTTAGCAAAAAAGCAAAGAATTCTTTTGGAAGCTTTCAAGAAATACAAGAATTTGGTTAAAAAACTAAAAGCAATGAAGGATCTCAATACCACATCTCAAAGGTAGAATTGCACTACCATGCAATGCGGGTTTTCACACTGGTCTTTCAAAGAAGCCGGCGGCCACCAGGGATGAGGCTTACTGCCGTCTACTTTCTTTGATTATAGACTATTATATGCACCCATCTCGCTTTTTACGTTGTTTGTGACTGTAAAGTATGTCTGTATTCGGCAAACCTTATAGCCATGGTTTGTGGCTATATATAAAGTACGCCTGTTTTCGGCATACCTTGCAGCCACGGTTTGTGGCTATAAAGGATACGGCCTGTTTTCGGTATACCTTGTATAGCCAACCGTTTGTGGCTATAAAGTACGCCTGTTTTTGGTATACCTTGTATAGCCAACCGTTTGTGGCTATAAAGTACGCCTGTTTTTGGCATACCTTATAGACAACCGTTTGTGGCTATAAAGTACGCCTGTTTTTGGCATACCTTGTATAGCCACCCCGTTTGTGGCTATAAAGTACGCCTGTTTTTGGCATACCTTATAGCCACTCCGTTTGTGGCTATAAAGTACACCTGTTTTTGGCATACCTTATATATAGCCACCGTTTGTGGCTATAAAGTACGCCTGTTTTTGGCATACCTTATAGCCACTCCGTTTGTGGCTATAAAGTACACCTGTTTTTGGCATACCTTATATATAGCCACCGTTTGTGGCTATAAAGTACACCTGTTTTTGGCATACCTTATATATAGCCACCGTTTGTGGCTATAAAGTACGCCTGTTTTTGGCATACCTTATAGCCACGTTTTATGGCCATAAACGGTACCGATTGCATGTTTTCGGCATACCTTATAGCCAACCCGTTTGTGGCTATAAAGTACGCCTGTTTTGGCATACCTCATAGCCAACCGTTTGTGGCTATAAAGTACGCCTGTTTTGCAGCATTTGGCTACAAACATCCATTGAAAATCGTTTTTCTCATGTTAACAGGTCTGGTGAACTTTCCGTGAGCTCCATTGAAATGCCAACGCAAACTACTCAAAATCAATCAACAACAACATCGAAAAGTGGTGTGTCTATTTCAAGCTCAAAATCTGGGCAACCACCAAATAATTCGATTCAATGTTCATCACAGAATTCTCAAAATCTATCTATAAGTACTTCGCAAGGTAAAAAGTCCACTCCCAGCTCTAGACAGCATCCAGATCGTTCTGTATTATCCCAAAATTCTCGTAATCTATCCACTACATCCAAAGCTAACGAGTCTTCTACTATACCGAGAGTCGTAATAACAAACGCGGCCAATCCTGGCTTAACAAAAGCAATCCAGCAAGGTTCAGTTAAATTTATAATACTACAAAATCAATCCAACAACTCGAGTCAAGTAGCCTCTCAGCCAAGTCAACCCAATAGTCTGTCAAGAGTCTCTACGGTTTCAGAATCTCGGCAATCAACTGTCACACAAAATGCTCCACAGTCTGTACTTACAACACAACATACACGTACAACAAAGGCTACATTCTTAGCTGGGCTAAATAACACTTTAACCTCCAAGCAACCAACTGTGACACAAAGTGGAAGGGCGAATATGATGATGAAACAATCATTACCACAAACTCATACTACCGTATCTACAGCGGCATCACAAAGTTCCAAAGCTCCAGCAACGTATGTTAATGTATCTTCTATGATTCAAAGGAATCAACAGTCATCTATGCTTCGTCCAACTACTATGAACCAAACTCTTATTCCATCAAACCGGCCTTCAAATCAAGCTTCTCCTGCTAAAACATTCTCTCAAACCGTAGCAACATGTACAGGCCCTCACATTCCTGCATCGAGCCAAACTCAGCCACTCACAATTGGGCTGTGCGCAAGTCAATCCCAAACCATTGGAGTCCCCACGACAAGTTTCCTTCGTTCTAGGGTCAATCAGACCACCATAAGGCCATCCATTACAGCAAACCCTGAATTATCACTGGAGACATTAGTGAAGAAAGGAATTCTTGCTCCGGGCAAGAATGTTCTCACAACTTCATCTGAGGTACGAAATATTTTTGCTGCAGCAAGAGTAAACTGAAGTAAAATTAAACGAACCAATTTTCGTTCTAAATCTAAATTGTTCTTCCTAAAGATCCAGAAAGGAGAATACCCCATTGGTCCAGCAATAGGAGGAAACCTAAATCAGGGGGGAAGGGCTTACTGTTCACTCTCGTCCGTTGCGTGTACTATCCCAACATTTCCATTATTTGAGATGGCCGAATCTGCATACTCGTAGTTCTATTACGTTTTGCATTATTTTTTGTTTATAAAGTTTATATCAGCTTTTTATCACGTTATTATGTAGCCTATGCTGTAGCACAGTACAGTAAGTTTGCTTGTTTAGAAAGTACAGTATATTTGAAAATATGACTGTATAACAAGCTCGACATGTTTACATATTAACCATGATATTTAATTAAAGCATTCTGAGTATAATAAATCAAATCATTTCAAGAAATCGACACGCGCTAACAGTAGATGTTCCGCCAATCGCTATTCGAAAAGCATAAAATGAACGGCCAAGCAAATATTTTTAGGGTGGTGCTGAACGTCCCCAGGGGGTGGTAGACACCACTATAGGTGAGGTGCACATCTCCCACAGTAGATCCGCCCCTGAGTAACCAGCACACCTGGAGAAAACCTAAGATTTACAGGTCAACTGAAAACACTTTGATACAAATGAGGCGAAACAACCCGAATATTTCTGCGATCCAAACCTTTCGCAAAGGTGGAAGGTACTTGCATAAACCACTTTGTCACCGACACAATGTTTAATTTTGGTGTTGTATCATTCTTTTCAAGGGAAAACTATATTCAGCGTCACTTTCTGACAAAGGAACGATCATCTCTGCCGGAGGAGAAGGTTTTACCTCACCAAGAAGTTGGCTGAAAGCAATCTCAGGGAGCAAACGTAAAGTGAGGAACGAACTTGCTTGGAAAATGGTAATTTATTATTAATCATACCATCATGGATAGCTCTAGCATTCCTAAACATTCCTTTTCTTTCTAGCAATCCAGGAAAGATTATCCCTAATTGATCCAGTTTTACTACAGGAGGAAACCCAAACTTAGCTACGTTTATTTACAGTTTACTGGATAGCTTTGTCAGTTCTAAACTGTTCTCTCCAGAGGTACAAGTAAAGATCATCCCTCATGAATTGATCTAGTTTTACTACAGGAGGAAACCCAAACTAAACTAACTTTACATATACTGGATAGTTCTATCAGTTCTACACTGTTCTTCCGAGAGACTAGAGTACGATCTCGTATTGGTTCACTGTTACGTTACCTAAACATACTTTATTTATACTGCACAGCTCTGTCAGTTCTAAACTGTTCTCCCTAGAGGTTCATTAAGGATCACCCCTTATTGCTCTATAGTGTTCCTACAGAAGGAAAATGAAATACCCCGAGGTGTTTGGTAAAGTCCAACTATAAATCACTTTGCTATCAACACCGTGTTTAAGATATAGGGTATAAGTTAAAAAAGAGTTGTGTAATTACTGTAACTTTGCAGCCCAGAAGACTTTACAATACTCTTCCATGATAGGTTTCATACAAGAACAAGCCATTGCTAGATCAGGCTTGTACCCTTACACCCGAGTCAACAAAAGTAACAGAAACATCGGTCAACTTGAATTTAGAAGCCCACCAAGCTCAAGGTCCCATACAAAGCAAGATTTCTCGAAGCGACACAAGACGAGAGCTTATCAACACAACTCAGGCACTCAAAGCTTTATTAAGTAATTGTCGAGTCATTGGAATAAACAAGGAGGAAGTTCTTTCCTCGGAGCAGGGGCAGAAAAATGTTTGGGACAATGTTGATATGGAATTACTGAATGATGATATTTCAAAGGCTTTAAATTTTTAAAAATTGGTCTGAATCGGGAAAGGAAAATATTTGTGTTTCGTTCTTTTTCGTAATATCGACTGTACGTTAAGCTTTTCATTTCTTTTTAGCGAGCAAATTTTAGTTGATTCTTCTTCTAAAACTTTCACCTTAGTTCATTATAAACATTTATTTTGTACACTAAATTCAAGAATTCCGATTCTGAAGGTTAATACTTTATTTAATTTGCTACGTTTCGAGCAGTTTGACTGCTCGTCGTCAGGCCAACCTAACTGCATGTGGGCCAACTACAAAGTTGTAGTTGGCCTGACGACGAGCAGTCGAACTGCTCGAAACGTAGCAAATTAAATAAAATATTAACCTTCAGAATCGGAATTCTTGAATTTAGTTTACAAAATAAATGTTTATAAATTTTAGTTGTATGATGAACACACAATACAAAATTCAGTTCACAAGTTAATACAACGTCACGTGTTTGATCGCATAATTTCAATATATAATTATATTATTTATAACATTTATATAATGATAGAGTTAATATATTTGTGCAATTAATTCGCTTCAATATATACAGCTAATTCAAAAAAGGTTGTCCTTTGCAAAACCTTAACTCTAAACCTTAAACTCTAAGCGCGCAAAGCTTAATGGGAGCACAAGTTTCAAGCTCAGTAGTTGAATATTGCAGCTATTTGTGAATGCATTGTTCTCGTAAGGAGATATTTACCATGATTTCGAAACTGATTAAATTATGCTCCCATTAGGCGTAAAAAAAATACCTGTGGTTCCGGTTCCGGACCGACCCTATTTTTTTCTGCCGACCCTATTATTTTTTCAACGCGATTGACCGTGCCAAAATGGCGTCTGTTGTCACACTAATTATTGAACCAAATTGCCTATCCGTCCATAGGAAATACGCAACTCTAGTTAATATTGATGTCGGAACTCTACTGCAAATCGCCCAGGAAAAAACCGCCAAAACCATGAAAAAAATATTCAAAAAATATTTATTTCCGACCTACCGATCCTAATTTTTTTACGATATGAAACCGGAACCATAGGTATTTTTTTTACGCCTTATGCTTTGCACGTTTAGAGTTCAAGGTTTAGAGTTTAACGTTTGCAAATGACGTTTTTTGAATTAGCTGTATTTAACAATTATTCGCCGAAGGCGAGGTGATTATCGGTGAATAAAAACCGAGACAAAGTCGAGGTTTTTATTCACGATAATCATCGAGCCTGAGGTGAATAATTGTTTTAGTATAATTTCATAGGTGATTATTTGGAAAAAAATACACTTTTCAAAAACTGTCCTTTATATAATAAACAGAAAAATACATAGATGCTTGAAAATACCAGATTTATTTCTCGTGTTGAACATGATATCTCACTCGTTCTCTGCGCGCTCACTCGTGAGATATCATGTTCAACTCTCGAAATAAATCTGGTATTTCCGCGCACCCATGTATTATTCTCTATATACTGTAATCACCTCAACGGCAACCAATCAGCATGAAGAATTTTCAATAATCAGCTATGTAATTATACTAAATATATGTAACAGGGCATTATACTCTTTCATATTAACAGTTTTGCCAAGAACTTCAGCAAGTCTCTCGCCTGCCGCGCAAATGCAGCTGGAAGCACTCTTCTCAAAATGGGATAGTTGTATCCCTACCAACCCAGTCCCAAGGCTTGTTAGCTATATAATCTTCCACTCGATATTTCAATCCATTTACTAAAACCTTCAACTATTCAGATTATTGCATGGATATTGCAACCAGTGTGTCCCCATCACCCCCACCTTACTGTCGTTCCAATTGAAGTGTTCCTCAAATATTGACTCAATACATTACCTCAGGCTGACCAATTCATTTCATCAAGTTCCTCGAGATATTCATATAGACTTCCTGTGAAAGAGCCAATTCCAAGAATTTGATCATTTCTGGTCACTTCCTTTCTATTTATGATTGGTTAGTTGCACAAACAACAAAGGTGATTGGTGCATTCAAACTATTCAACAGGAAGTTTACAATTATACTAGGAAGTGTATGAATATTTCGAGGAACTTGATCAAATGAATTGGTCAGCCCGAGGTAATGTATTGAATCAATATTTGAGCAACACTTCAATTGGAACGACAGTAACGGTACCTTACGTGATGATACCTTAGGTACAGTACACCTTACGTGATAATATCTTAAACGTTGGGGTTTCAACGTTTAAAGCCGGTTTTCCACTTCAAGCATACAGTAACGAAACGTATCAAAAACGTTTTTAAATGATTGGTTAGTACTTTCGTAGTACTCCAAAAAGGTGACTTGCGACGAACGTTTTATTTTGATACGCGAATACACCCGGATCATCACGTACTATAAAGTACCTACAGTATCTTAGGTTGCTTTCCATTCAATGGCCTGACCGGTCTGTATCAATGGAAAGATCTGGTCTATGTTTCTCAAATATCTAGCGAAAATGGACCTCATTCTAATGTTATCTAAATTTTCCGTTCAGATAGGTCCAAAGCCCAAATGTTTTGTGTTTCATTCAACAATTTGACCGTTCTGATCAGTTTGGCCGTGTTAATGGAAAGCGCCCTTAGGACCTGTTTAATATGGTCCCGCTTACCGGGCATCCCACTTACCGATGATCACGCCGCCTAGTTATTTCCCTATAAAATTTTGTATTGTGTTCATATGAGAAAGAGAGCTGGCCCGCTTTCAGATATCGCTTGAATTTGCCGAGATCATAGGTGGGCGGGATGAAAGATTTTCCATAAGAACACGCAAGCCCGCTTACCGGTATGAAGTCAAACAAGTCTTAATTTAACACTTTTTACTTAGTTTATGTTTGTTTCGTACACAAGTATTAAACACGCTGCTAAAGCAATACTTTTTCTTGTAAATAAACGAAGAAAAACACTAAAATCGCTAAATATTTGTATTGCTTGACTGAAATGTAGACGTTTTGCACCCGCTAATTATAGAACTATACATTGTAATCTCGTCTCGGCAAGCGGGATTAAACACTCGCCATATGAACGCGCAGAAATATTCGTCTCGCTGGGCAAGACGTCTCGGTCATTTAGTGGGATCATATGAACAGCCCTTTATACCTAACACATCTCCCCGCCATTCATCAGTATTTTCAAAACGACATTAAAGGCCCAGATTCAACACAGATATTAGCATGTACATTGATCCGTGAGCTTGGAAACCAACATCTGCAAAATGGGCAAGGAACGGACTCATTTGGAACCACGTCGTACGCGGTATTGACTGGCGAATGTACCTGTTGTATCTCCACTACTTCTGCGTCACTCTCCCGCGTGGGGCTCGTCAGCACAATCGTCTCGCGTGTCGTGGCACCCACGCAAGTTGATGCGTGGAATTCTATGGTTTCCCGTGGGAAGAATTTCTCACAGAGAGGACATTCGTGTAGTGAGGAGGTGCTAAGGCCAGATGATTGTGTGGGTGATTTGAGGGGTGAGCTGGCAGGTGATTGGGAAGGTGGGGTTGGTGACACGGGGAATTGGATAGGTGGGGAAGTTTTACAGACACTTTCTTCCTACAATTGGATGAACAATAGTTTAATATTTCAATGGACCATTTGCATTATAAACTAAATTTTGATATAGAAAAAAATTTCATCACAGCTTGAAAGAGCATCACAAAATTAGTAATATTCCAAAGTTTCGTTGCGAAATGTTGTAAAATGCGGATAATATAGCCATGCGAAGTTTGCCGTTTTTCAGTCATTTTGTATTACGCACGGAAAATTGACAGCCCAATCGGGTGTTGGGGCATCAATTTCCCGTTTGTAATACAAAATGACTGAAAATTGCAAATTTCGCAAGGCTATATTATCCGCATTTTACAACATTTCGCAACGAAACTTTGGAATATTACTAATTTTGTGATGCTCTTTCAAGCTGTGATGAAATTTTTGTCTAGACCAAAATTTAGTCTATAATGCAAATGGTCCATTGATTAATTGAATTACATAAGTGCGACTACCCCCAAATGTGTAATATTTGGAAAGTTATTTCGCTGACCTCAGAATGACATTTCGTCAAAACTTTTTTCATGGTTTAACTTGGTTTAGAAACAAACTTGGAGTAGGGTTAGGTTAGGGGTCAGTGTTAGTAAAACCGTTGCTTTGTTACGTTTTGTCACTCTGAGGCCAGCGAAGTAACCTCTTCCATAAAGAAATGTATATATTTTTATGGTAAAAATGTCATCTTGATCAACTTCTTCACTGTCAGAGTTCCCAGATAGGATCTCATTACAGGTAGATGAATCTTTGGGTCAAAAAACAAAGGCAAACTAATTTGCATTTCATCTGATGACATCATATCTGAAAACTTTGACAGTGAAAAGTTGATCCAGATGAGGTTTTTTACTATAATGATACATTACATTTTTTCTTAGAACGACCCAAATATTACACATACAAAAAATCACATTTCGGGTTAGAAGCACGTTTAATTGTTAAGGAGCAAAACACAAAGGACACTGCCATCATTTCGTCTTCTTTATATCACAGTAATAAAAGAGAGTAGAAACCACTTTGCTGTGTTTCAAACATAGAAATAATAGATATCTATTATTTAAAATGTTTTAAAATGTTACTAAAACATTGAGTTTACTGAACTTGAATTATGCATAATTGATTTTCCTAGTTAGTTTCTTCAATTAAAAGGGCTGAAATGCACCTTAAAAACCATCATTGAAAAGGCTGAACTGTGCCTTTAATAAATATAAACTATACTTGTACATTGCACAGGTATTGGAACATATCATTTGGAATATTGAGTATACCTCATCGTCTGTGCTCTTAACTTCTACTGGACCAAGCACGTTCTTCTCTGCAGGCTAAGCAAAGAAACAAAAGGAAATATAAATGGTCCAATTTCTACCAGAGAGTAGAGACAGATGGTTCGTCCGAACGAACGAACGAACGAACGAACGTGGGGAAATATAATACAAAAATATACTCCGAATAGAAGCGTCTTTTGTGCTCGAGATTTGAGTTAACAAGACCTCAAATTTGGTAATTCTTTTATTTGGAGAATGTCTGGTAGTACATTCGCTCTGATAATGTCTTGTATGAAGATATTTTCGAATGGTGCAGTTTTTTTATAACACCCTGTAGTTCGATTTTGAGGAGAGGTGTAGGGAAGTGCGCACCTTCCCTGAGATCGTTTTGCACCTCCCCTGAGAATTTTCGCACCTCAAAGTTCAATGATAGATCAAAGTGAGAATTCGACAATTTTTGGTTGCTTAGGGTCTACACTTCGTAAGAAAGTTTTTCTGTAAAATTGAAACAGTGATAGCCATTAATCTCTGTGTCAAGTACCGTTTTAATGCAATGTTTTGAAATAAACTTTGTAGTAATTGTAATGAAGGGCAAAATTGGATGAGTTGCGCAGTCATAATTCATTAATACACATATGTACACCAGTACACCACATGCATGCATGCATGCATGCATACGTCACGTCGTTGACGTTGGAGTTTGGCCCGTTCTAAGCCCTAACTTTCCATGGGGGTCATATTTTCCACCTCCCTCACTATACACCAAAATCCGGCCTTGATTTGCGTAATACGTCCCCTGCATAGAACGATCATCCAAATTAAATTTATCAACAAAAATACCTTGTCGAGATCCAAAACATGCTGCTTCGCCAACTAAAATGTTCAAATAAAGATGCATGTAAAAAAAGTTTCACCAATTAGCCTTTCTCACGATGCTGCATGGCTACATGTAAACACGTATAGTTGTGATATTGGCGTATGACGCCGAATTTTTTACTGTAGCTAACACCCTGCAAATTTCACATTGAGTAAGTATAATAGTGCTGTGCAAACTCCGGGTTTTTCACCTCCGGCTCCGGCTCCGGCTCCGGCCAAAAAAACTCCGGCTCCGGGAAAAAAAACTCCGGCTCCGGCAGAAAATTTCCAGCTACGGCAAATTCGTGAAATTTCATGGAAATTTAACATTTCAAAGTGGAAGCACTGTCTTTGTTTTTGATTTTAACACTTCGCATGAACATTTCGTACTATGCATGATGGCATGATGCAT